GCGACCAGAAAAGAGAACGGGGACAGCCTAAGCACTCACCGGAAGCTTCTTGCGAGGTTCAGCCCTTCGTACATCAACCATTCGATCCTCTATCGTGTGGCCCGAGGGACAAGCGTCGAGAGTTCTCTGATGAAAATATGCATCGCTCCGCTAGGATCGGAGAGTTCCCTACATGGACAGCTTCCGCATCCTCGAAGATAACAAAGGCAAAGCCTCTGGACATTCCCGCGTAGTCGAAGGCGAGCTCACAGTTCACAATCGCACCATACCTTAGAACATGATAAATGCGCACAACACTGAATCTTATCGTTTCAAGATTCAAAACAAATCCAGATCTGTCACTATAATTGTTGTCTCAACTACATACTCAGCCGAAATCTTTCCCCAAGGCGCCTCACAAGATTCGACTTACTGTTAGACTAGCAATCAATTTTCGAAAATCGCAGCCACCCAATGAACGTGTCAATGATGCTCCCAGCAGAGATACAGTATTCATCACAAAAGTTGACAAGGGGTCTTACTTGGAAAAATAGTCAACAACGGCTTGCTCTCCCGTTGCTGGGTTCAAACCGCCGACGAAAATCTTCGTCTCGGTAACCTGGTAGACTATCATGCGCGAGGTCGCAGGTTCGATCCCCGCGGCCCTACTTCATCGACATCAATGTCTTTGTTCTTGATTCTGTGCTTGTTATTAAAAAGTCTGGTCGAGTCTCCGTTCATCAAAGTGACAAAGCCGAAGCCGCGCGAGCGACCAGTGACCTGTTGATATATTTCCATAATAAAATGATAATCCATAATCCATAATAACAATCATAAATTCGGGCTAGTGTCCAACCCTTGCACTCTACTTCAAATACGACACCGAAATGACTTTATTCAAAATCACTGAGGCACTGGCGAGGCGACTGTCTTCGACACGCTGATTTCAAATGAACTTCATTTTCACACACGAATAGTCCGCGCTCCTTTTGCGACGTGGAGTCTGACCTTGTCCATTTTTATCTCAACCTCGACAACATCATCGCCAAAATTATTAAAATATTCTCTCAAATCACTTTCTTGTAGGCCTTGGGGTAATCCACCAACAAACACCTGACAGGCCACAACGTGGGGTCAACACCTTGGAACTCAGTCTATCTAGAAACCACTCCACGACTAGCAACGCAAGCAAGTTCATGAAATCCGAACCACAGGGAGGCGAACGACCCTCGATACAAAGAGGTGCTATCAGAAGACGAGACGAAAGGCTTACTTTTAATTTCCTCACAATTGGATTCTTATATGCTGGTCTCGGCGTTTTAGGGACTTGATCGTGACACACTTGCTGAGAGCAACAAGACATCTTACTGATTCACGGGAGACGCACAGAGAAGGTATCCAATAAGCGCGAATTCAACGTGTCAGATTTCACTCATAGCAGCCGTCAACCTACCTCTTCATGAGGATTGTCAACAATAGAGTGTGCGGACGACGACCAGCTTGAGGCGGCAGAGTAAGGTCCTGTAGCGCACCCTGAGACTGTGGATGCATCTGGCGAGGCATCAGCACCGGCCACGACGGCCTTGTACGATCCTTCCATTCACACGAGATACCACAACTGAGTCAACCTCACGTAGAATCAACGAACACCCGTTATATTAAGTGCACTTCAACTAAGAACCTCACAATCGCCGAAAAGTGAACTATAGTTTTCATCACTTTTGAGCTTTTGCTTTCTCTATCTCGGCTTTCAGTCGCTGCTGGAAGGAATCGTCCGGGTCCTGAATAAAAAAACTTCGAAATTCATCCTTCCAAAAAACCACTATCTACGCCACAATGTGCGGATAGATTATACGCGAGTAGTTCAACACATTCACTAATACGACCAGAAAGCACTTGTAAATTCCAAGTTGCACTACTCAAGATCACCAAGCATTAGCCCTAAACAAGATAAAGCCATGAAAAGGAATATTAACACCTCTGAACGGTCGCTAGGCTGAGTAAAGTCTCGAAAGTGCCGTGGAAAAACCAAATTCCATTTACGACCCCAACACTCCAAAGAGAGACTAACTCTGAGGGTATCAACGGAGAACTCGGACGCTGTAAATTCGACATGTAAAAGCTCCTCATAAACCCTCAAGGAACTCATTGAGATGGCGAACCAATTACTGAATGGTCCCAGATGTTGGCGATTCCACCGCCGCTTCGCTCAACAATCATTCACGCTCTCAACGATTTTCAATATTTTAAAAGAGATAGATACACAATCCAGTTCAAGCCTACCTCCTCATCCCAGCCAGCCTCGTCCCACTTGGTTTCCCACTGAGTAGCATCGGGCGCTGCTCCACTGAGGTCAGTAGATGCTCGGTGACCACGAATAGTCCAATCTGAATCAGAACCACAATGAAAGAATATTCCTTCACAACAAAGAGTTGAGCATGATCGACGAGAATCGAATTCGAAACAATAATCTCTGAATATATATCGAATTTATACGCATCGTCGAACCTCAACTCGAGAGCGCCTGAGCTCTACTTTGGAGCATAGGTTTTGCCTACACACAGGAAGCAGTACCTTCCTGCTCGAACTCCTCAAACTCATCCGCCTCATCGAAGCCAGCGACCGGCTCCTCGACGGATTCGTCAGCAACCTTCTTATTATCAGAGGGCATGATAAAACGACTACACACAAAGGGTGATTGTGCAGGAGTGCAAGGAGAAAGTTGAGGAAATGCAAGAGAGCAAGATTTTGTAAGATTTCACAGTTCGAGTTATCGCGACTGATTCCTACTTCTATTTCGATGTCCGAGGCCCAGTCTGTGAAGTCCCCAGGGGCGACCACCTCTGTCGAAGATTCGAACGTAATCAGGGTGGCCAGAATCGGACCTGTTTCGTATCTTGCACTCTGGAGTTGAAGATACTTTTATCAGGCACCGCAGCGGCAAGGGGATGTTTTGAAACTGCAGATATTTTGCAAGAAGTTCAACAACATCGGAGAGAAGGCGAAAATGGAGTGGTTCAATAGTGAAGTGAAATCCAATGTTGAATGTAACCATTGGAGCGCTCATGCTGAACTTTTTTGGGGACAAAATTTTGGAATTGTTTCCCGAGTCGGTTTTTAGTTTCCGAATGAACTTTCCTCGCGAAAACCTGATGGAGTGCTATCGGCAAAAACCGTATTTCATCCGTTGACGATTACGTGCGTGTTGAGCCTGCAGAGTTTGAATGTTCAGTTCACCGTACATTTTTCACTATATTTTTGGCAAGCGTATGATGAGCTTTCCGGTTCTCTGAAATCTCTGGATGCAAATCGAATAACTTTCCCAAGCGCTCGACATCGACGTGCACGATTATACTTATGGGCTTTTTCGGGAGTTGGTCTTTCCTCGACTAGAATTTACATAGGGCGTGTA